GAATCTGGAGATGATTCTGACTACATCACTACCTTACAACTGTATACAAAAAAAAGATGATGATGATGAATTTAAAAGTTATATATAAAAATTTCAAACTACAGAACAATTTCAAGAAAAGAAATTTTCAAATTTCCAAGCAGGGGAACTCTTTCTAAGTTTACTGTACTAACAGAAGAAATCATAAAGAATAAAAGCAATAGCTTTTGCTATGAAACAAGTTTAAACTTCAGCAAGTAAAATTTTATATCCTATAAACAAAATTACAAAGGGTTTCAGCCCCAGGCAAGTTCACTATGGTTCCTGTGAGACCAAGAAATGACAATGGAATATTCTTGGTGTAAAAGGATTTATACCTGGTTTTATTCTCACAGCAATAGGCTGAGCACTAGAATCACCTCTGCATCCAGCAATCTGCAGGTCTGTTATCCACCTCCATCTCCACCTCCATCCAGAGCACTGGTGGGGCTCTTTATATAGTGACTCAGTCAATAATAGCTTTTTGCCAATGGGTGCAGAAGTGTTAGCCTAGCAGCAGGCCAATTACATCATCAAGTAGGGTCAGGTGAGGATCCTGGCCATAGGAACTTTCATTCTCCCAACAAATGTGAAAATAGAGAAAAAGCAAAAGGTAACTTCTGAGTAGCAGACTTTTAAAGACACAAGCAGGGTGCAACTTCTACTATTGTATTTTTAAATAATGCCCATTCCTATCTTGTTTTTATGGGGTTCCCTCTGCTCTTACACATTTTGTGATGGTCATGGCCTTATTGTTTTATAATCAGTGGCCAACTGCTGGCACTTTAATTTCTAGTCTCTCTGTTCATCAAGAACCACTTCAGTAATGAGCCAAGTTTGGGGGCCGCCCCAGCCCTGAGCTAGGATTTAGGATTTAGCCTTCCCCCTCAAGGAGCTTCCTCCAGCTCCCTTAGTGGGACTCAGACAAGGTTTACCACCCAGGAAAGATGCTTAGGATTTGTGCTGGCTCCAGGGTCCTTCCTCTCTGATTCTTATACTTTTGGTGTTTCACTGCTTTGTCACCTTTCTGACAAGGGAGGTTGTTTAGCGGGATGGCACAATCAAGGTACTGTGTGCAGGGGCAGATTGATGTACTTGGGCTCAGAACCAATAATTTGTTTTTGTTTTTGCTTTTGCTTTTGCTTTGATCAGGAAGCTCTCAGCCACACATGCCCCTAACCTCTAGAAGCACTGGGTGAGTACATCTCCCACTGACACTGTCACCACATCACCCACCTGGCCATCCCCTCCTATCCATTGCCTCAGAGGTTAGAGTATTTTTTAGAATTCAAGAGATTTTGGTAAACTGCCTCACACCTTTCATGGATTAAGGGGAAGTAGTAGAATGACAGACAGTTCATAGAGGACACCCATGCAGGCAAAGCTTTCAACCTCTCTGTGCTTGAGTGGCCCTCTCTGGGAAACATCCGTATCTTCACTTTGTTATGGGATAAGATGCTACAAGGGCAATGCCCACCCTCTAGAAATGCAAGTGGTGAGAAAGCAGAGATTGAGGATGAAGGTGGGAATGGGGAGGTTTCCTAAGTATAGCTCACATCTTGTTACAAATGCCTTGCCTTTGGGAAATGACATTCTTAGAGACAAAACTGAGTTGTGGGGTTTATCAGCAGGCATTTTAATAAAACCAAGACATACACCACCGCCTCCACGGTGTGGGCTTCCAGGTTGGAGTGATGTTGGACTTTTGTGATGTTGGACTTCTCTGTTTAGCTCTGCTCCTGGTACACCTAGAGGTAAAACTACCTTTCTGCCACTAGAGCTGCTGTATATGACAGACACATGTCCTAGCAATTAAGTAGATGTGGCAGCTGTGATATGAATGCACAAAGCAACTCCTGAATCCAGTTGGATTCATCTCCTTTCTGTTTATAAGCTTCCTGAGCATAATTTCCTAATCTCCTTCTTTTTATTCCAGACTTTCCTTTCCTTGTGTGCAGTTTTCATTCATCAAGGGGGAGTTTTATTTCCCCCTTATTATGGTTTACTGTTTACTGAATGCTATATATCTGTATCTATCTCCCCATGTACACGTGCAAGAGTTTGTCTAGATGGCACCTAGGACTGGAACTGTAGGGTGGAGGACACACACACAGCTTTGCTAGGTAATGTCAAATTGTTTCCTGTGTTCGTGTCAGTTGACATATCCACCAGCAATGTGTGAAGTTTCCCATTGTCCCACATTCTCACTACCACTCGGTGTCATCCAACTGTTTTTTATTTTTGGCCATTTTGGTGGATATCAAGTGTTACCTAATTGTGGTCTGCCATTTCTCTCTACTTACTAATGAGGTTTTCTATAAAAATCTTTTCACTCTCTTTTATGTCTTTAGTTGAACAATAGTGCTTAAGTTAACCATTGGCAAATTTATTAATCTTCTCATTTGCAGTCTGTACTTTTGCTGTGTTGTTGAAAGAATTCCTCTTGACCTTGTAGTAATATATATGTGATCTCTATTATGACTTCAGGTTTCCACTTTTTTTAGCTATTTTACTATGTCACTGTCCTATTGGTCTTTCTCTGTGCCAAAACCACACTATCCTAACACTGCACCTTCATAATGACGTCCACTAGGGCACATTCCTTTCCCTTAGTTGTCACTATTGCGGTTATCTTCTTTTTCTCCTCCTTCTTCTCCTTTTCTCCTTCTCTTCTTTCCTCTTGGAAATAGCTTAGATATTCTTGGACTATTATTCTATATAAATTTGAGAATTACCTTATTAATTTCCATGGAAAACCTTATTTGGATTTTAATTTAAACAATCAATTATTGACTCTAGCAACTATGTTGTAAAGAATTCACATCTTTGCAATATGGACTGTCTCTGTAACTGAATATGGTATGACTCTCCTTTTTACTTAGAACTTCTCTAATGTCACTCCATGAAGTTTTAATCACTTTACGTATATAAAGATCTTGCACATCATTTGTTAGATTTATCCCTGGGTTTTTTGTTTTTTTGGAGTCTGTTTTTACATTCCCTTCTATAACTATTGCTAGTATATACAGATGCTGCATTATTCCTTGGTTCCTTTTTCTTTAGATTTCCAACTCTTCAGAACTGAGAGCTAGTTAATTGTGTCAACAGGCACTCAATATATTCAGGGCTAACATCCAGTGGTACACAATACCATGACTGTATTGGTTACTAAAATACTGAAATATTTCCAGAATGGAGCCCCCTGATTTCTCCCAGCACTGGTCATCTTGGCTTATCCTCCAGACAGACCAAGACCTCCCCAAGTCTAGTCATGAGATTTAACATCTTTTCTTATATCAATAAGACACTCATGTGGCCTCTTTTGTAAAAGGAATTTCTGTGTCTTTTGCCAGTTTTTTTTCCCATTGGAAAGTTTGTCTTTTTCTTATAGATATACAGGTTAATTATATATTTTGGATGCTCTTTTGTTAGTTTTATGCATTGTAATACCTTTTCACCACCTTCTGTAACTCTACACCCAGCACAGCATGGGCCTGTAGGCCCTGCTCCACTAGGAAGGCAGGCATCTGTTCTGATTACTCCATTCCCTCCCCACAGGGAGTTGTTATTCTGAATGTTGCCTTTTGTGCTCCTAGGCCCCAGATAACAGAAACACTGAAACACCAAAGGTGGGGTATTAAGCTGAGTGGTTTCTCAACTGAGGATTCAGAGAGCTCAGAAACGCGAAGTCAGCTCTGAGCATCGAGGAAGGAGTCGGGAGATATGAGCTGTAATTAAGGAGATTTTAGCCAGCATCCACCTCTGAAATCCCACCCAAATCCCTGCAAGTGCCCCCTCACTCCTCCACTTGATGCTCCTGCAGGCGCTTTGACCGTCACTTGGTTCAGACTGAACACATCCTCTTTATGTACCAAATCTGCTCTCTTCCTGATGACCCTGATTGGTCGGCCAGTGTTTCCTACCATCCTACCACCACTTCTGCCAACCTACTGTCTGCTACGGTAGATTCAGAATCATCCTAGTCTCTGCCTTACCTCCGTTTCCTCTCTTTTATTGGTTACCAAGATCTGTCAGTTCTATGCCATAAGAGAATCTCTGGAGTACAACCTTTTGCCATTCTGATTACCACTGTCTCTTACATTTTTTTGAGCAGTTGCCTAGCGGGTCTCTCAGACTCCAGCTTCTTTTGCTCCTCCTGTCCCTCCCCCAAACTGCTACCAGCATTGGTGGTCCCACCTGGCCCAGCATCCCACTGTTTCCTCGTCTGCTGAAGGGAGCATACAGGAGCCATCCGACTCGGCAGGAAGGCGTGTTTTGTCACTGACCCTGTTTAGAATGATGCTAACATAAAGCAGATTCACTTGGACTTGTTTTGATTATTGTATTTAAATTCTCTACAGTGCACGCCCCCCCCTTCTTGCCTACACCTTGACAACAGCTCTCACCCTCATTCTCCTTGGTGTGACACTGAAAATATGATCTGCCTCAATATGCTGCTGGGAAGGTTAAACAAAACAGTGCTTGCTGAGAACGTAGCCCAGGCCTCTGCACTTAGTTAATGTCAACAATTATCAGTAATAACATTATTATTGGTTCCTTATCCTATTCCTGTTTTGGCAAAGCTTGTTTCACCTGGCCTCCATCATGCCCTTCCACCCTCTGGAGCCCTGTAATAGTTAGTGAAGCCCTTTACTCTGTCTTCACCACACCAAGTTTTTCCATGATCCCATCCTTTGCAAATGCCCTTTACTATACCTGGAATGTCTTCCTCCCCTCTGTAGATTCATTGCTTAAGATCTAGCTCATTGTCATGCTTTTTGTACAGCCTTAATCCAGTTATCCAAACAAAAGGAATACCTCCCCTGTGTACCCATGGCCCTCTCTGTTCACATCTCCTCTTTGAAGCCTACCTGGAGTGCAATTCCTGGAAGAGAGTCTGTATGTGCTCTTCTTTGCTATCACTTCTGTATCTATGGTCTCCAAAATTGAGTATTCTGTGAGGGTTTTGCCTGTTTTATTAGAAGGAATGAACACTTGGATGAATGAATGAATGAATAAATGAATGGGAATGGTTTTGACTTCGCCCTAGAACTAGCAAAAAGTTTGGGTAATGGCAGTTTCAGTCATTTTGTATAGCCTGATATTGGACTCTTTTTTCCATGCCCTAGGAAAAATATTCCCAAGTACTGCAGTACCTGTCTTCTTAAGAAATTGAACTCAGTATCAAAGGAAAGTCTATTCAAAACCAGGAAGTGTGGAGCAGGTAGAATCTGTCTTCGAAATTGTCCCTGAGAGGGCGCTGTTTCCAAACCAAACCTTTAGAGGCCTGGAATGAAATACCGGCGTGTCCCCGCAGGACTCAGCTCAGCATTCCTGTCTTCCCAGGCAGCGGTTGCGGGTCCCCAGGGAAGCTCCTGCCCACACTCATGGCGGCGCCCTGATCAGCTTCTCCTCGTTGCCACTGGCCGGCCGGCCCGGCCTTGCCAGTACTCGGGGACTTCCTCCGCGAGCCCGCTTCCTGCACGGCTGGCATTTAAACCGGCGCCTGGGGCTGTGGGCTGCGGCTACGGATGCTGAGCTGTCCGCGGGCTGGGCAGCGCCACCACCTCCCCAGAGCCGCGGCCTGGCAGGAGCGGTGCCAAAGCATCCCCTCAGTGCACTCGGGCCCGAGCAGGGAGGGGCGGTCTGCAGGGAGATCCGGGACGCCGGCATCGGACCCGGCATCTGGCAGTTTAATTGCAGGTTTGACTTCCATTTCCAAGATCGCAACTCTCCTGCCCAGCCACATTATATTTGCCCTCCCTCCGGCCTTGGTTGCTGGATGAGGCAGGAGCTGGACTTGGTCCCAGGAGCTTGGACAGAGCGCCTTCCCCGCCGCGCGCCATCGCCCTAGGGATCTCGAGCCGCGCACCCCGGCCATGGTGCGGCTGAGCCCCGCGCTCGGGTGAGGCGGCGGCGCAGCTCGGAGCCCGAAGGGTCAGCCCTGCGGGGCGCCTTCCCCAGGAGCCCACGGCGCCGGGACTGCGCGCGGGGGGCGAGCGGGGGCCGCGATGTTCAGCTGGCTGGGTTCCGACGACCGCCGGAGGAAGGACCCCGAGGTCTTCCAGACGGTGAGCGAAGGGCTCAAGAAACTCTACAAGGGCAAGCTGCTGCCGCTGGAAGAGCATTACCGCTTCCACGAGTTTCACTCGCCCGCCCTGGAGGATGCCGACTTCGACAACAAGCCCATGGTCCTACTGGTGGGCCAGTACTCCACTGGGAAGACCACCTTCATCAGGTGAGCCGGCCCCCGCAGCCCACCCCGCCTTCCAGAGCTGAGGCCCCCCATCCACTCCCAGTGTCCCCTCCTGCCCTTGGACAAATGGGGAGTCTTCAGTTGAAGGCTCGGAAGAAATCCTTGTCTGCATGTGCCCAAAGCTTACCCGGCAATTTCATTGCTGGTCTCCTGCCCTGTCCTGCCTAGTGCCTCTCCACTGTACTTAGCTCAGTGGTCAGTTTGAAGTGGTAAAGTTCAGATCCATCCTTACTCTCCCCATTTTATGGAGGATGAAACTGAGGCCTGGGAGGCACAAGTGAGAAAGCTCCTTATGCTGGTGTGGGTGTCTTACACCCCCACTTTTTAGGGACCTGCCACATGGACAGAACCACTTCCCTTGCCTTTTAAAGGACTCAGCCACTCACATAGGGGCTTTACAGTTGCAGCTGAGGACATGGGCTGGGGATCCTGTGCTCTTCTGCCTGGTCATTCCACTTGTCCTCTTACCAGTTTCCTTTTCTGGACAGAGCTCCTACACTCTTGGAGTTTGGACAGAAGCAGTGTCCAAAAGTGGAGTGCTTTTTCCTTTGCCCTTGTTTGATCTTAATGGCCCAGTAATAATATTAATGTCTTTAAGAGGTGGAAGGGATATTGGCAATGGTCTCATCTGGCCTTTTGGCAAGAGAATCGAAGGAGGCCGCCTAGGATGCTGGTCCTAACTTCATGGAAGGAGATGCTTGGCTAAAAGCCTGTAACTTTGAGGTTGAATCATCCATTCCCTTGAATTTCAGAATTCTGGGGCTAGAGGGATCCTCAAGAAGTCAATTTGTGCACCTTACATTCAGAGATGTCCATATATTGTCCACAGAGTGATGAGAATCCTTCCTACCTTTGGAGGACAGGCTTCTTTCTCTTCAGTCCTCTACCCATAGAGCCCTCAAGGCCATTTCCTTGGCCTCAGGTAGCACCATTGCAAGCTGAGGGTGCCTGTGCCTGCTGTGTAGAGTCAGGCTCCTACTGTGCATTGATGGGAGCGGAGTCCCCAAAGCCAGTGGTGCTCATCTCCTCCAAGTTTCAAAGCAGTTGTGCTCTCGTTTCCCTTCAGCGACTATTTCAGCACCTGCAACATGCAAAGCATTAGACTTTGTTTGGCAAGGAGGGCAGAAAAGATAGCAGTCTAGTTAGTTTTTCTGCTAAGGTTATAACACAAGCCTTCTGGAAGCAGTGCAAGCACCAGGCTAACAGGTCCTGTCTGAATAGAGCACCAGATCCAGTTTGCCCCTGTGGGGTGGACATCCTTGGGCTGAGCAGCTTTGAGAGGTTGAGTGACTTCTGAAGAAGTTTAGTACCAGAGGGCCAGAGGCCTGCTGGCTCTTGGATTATTTTATATTGTTGGAACTACAAAGGCCCTTAAAAAGTTCAAGGCCTCCTTTGAAAGTCTGATGAAAGTTGTGAACCTATCTTTAGAAAAATGCAGATATCTTCCAAATTTACATACAATCTTGGGGGTCCAAGATGGGGGAAAAATCCATCTCTTTTGTTTTATTAAACACCCATTGTTGCCAAAGGCACTTCAGAGCTACCTAGGTATTCTGTACAAGGTTGCTTTGTAATCCGTGTCATCCACCTGGCCTGGTTTACGTCCCATGGGAAGTGCAAGCCATTTACAGATAGTTGCTGCCCTCTCATGCCTTCCCTGGCCTCTGGGCACACCTTGGTTATAAACAGTAGTACTTAGAGCTCCTCCTTCCTGTTGTGCAAGAACTTAAAACCCTGCCTTAGCTTCCTGGGGCCTTGCCTGGGGTCTCAGCTACCGGAGGGGAAATGGGGAAAGGCGAGTGTCCCTAGGGGCAAGATCTGGAGCGGCAGGCAGGTTTAATGCCTCCTGTCTAAGACACTCTCCTGGCTGTGCCTGAGTCATGCTAGCTGTTAACTGGGTCTAAGAAAGTGGCAGAATCGAGTTGCCATAGACTATTCCTTATCTGAGAGAGACAGGAAGGCTGGGAAAGGCAGCTCCCTCTTCTTTCTTATCCTCCAAGTACAAGAGTTCTTCCTCCCCACTCATGCCAGTAACTGAATTTAGCTCATGCATCAAAAGCTGTCTCCCCATGAGGAAGAGTCTGCCAGCAGGGTTGGAGGGGTGGTTGCACAGGGAAGCCTTCCATAACCAAATTACAAATTTTCCTTCCTCCTTATTAAATCCACTGAAATTTTTTTTTTTCCAAATCGGAAAATGCAGACAAAAATAAATTTGAGGAAGAAGAGAAAAATCACCCATAATCCCACTACTCAGGGGAAACCATTTTCAATATAATATACATACATTTATCTCTCTGGCACGCTTAGATATTTTTAACCCAGTTGAGATCATGTCATAATGTAATTTTGTATTTCCCTTAGAGCATGAGCATTTCCTGTGTAAATTTAAAAATCTTTGTAAGCATTATTTTTTAAGAGCTGCATATTTCACTGTATGTATATGCAATTATTCATTTAACCAACCTACTTCCTTTGAATGTTTTAGGTTGTTTCTAAATGTTTTGCTGCTGTAGCATCACTCTGAATACCTCTGTGCATACCATTTTCCCACATACTAGACTGTTTTCCCAGAGATTCCCAGAAGTGAAATCACTAGACCAAAGGTTGCACAGCTTTGGTATTTAAAACATTTTTTTTACTTTTCAGTATTAGTATTAAGAGTCACATTTCTGAATTGCTTTTCAAGAGGGTATGTTGATACAAAAGCCTTTCCCCAAAGCGACGAAGGCTCCCTTTGGTGCTGCTGAGTGCGTCCAGGTGCAGATCTCAGCATGCTTTTCCTCTACGTCCTCTTGCATCCCTGCTTCTTGCCTTAAGCACAGTGATTCCCATTGCTGCCCCTGGCCTGGACCTGTGAGAGGCCTTTCCTTTGGAAACAAAGAGTTGCCTCTTGACTCCCAGGCCTTTGGCCTTTTGCCTTCTGAGTGCCCATCCACTTTCAGTTATATGTACTTGCCACAGAGTCTATTTCTTGTCTCAGGAAGAACATGCAGAGAAAGACATGCTTCTAATAACTAATTAATGTGCTATGATCTCTGCCTGAAATAACTTCCCTGGCCTAAGGCCCAGTAACCCAGAGTAATAAAATAAACAATAAATTGGCCTGGTGACTGCTCCCTCCAACACAGGCTGCCTCTTCCCAGTACAGAAGCGCTGTGTCCCTCTGGCCCTGGCAGCTCTTCCTCCTGCCTCTGCTGTCTGCTCCCTTCTCTCTTCCTCTTGCTGGCATGCAGCCTCGATTCCCTCCTGCCTTGCTCCATTTGGCCCCCTGAGCATGGAGGTGACTAGCTGGCTGCTCCACGGGTTGAGGAAGGCCTGAGAATTCTGAGCTGGAAGGGAGGCCTCACTGGACCACAGTCAAGCTAAAGTAGAGGATCTGGCAATTGGGCGTTGGGCCCGGGGCGGCCTGCGTCTCCACAGGGAGGTCTGAGCTGGTCCTGAGCATTGTGTGGCCCTTCTATAATGTGACTTGGACTCTAGTGTACGAGCACATGGGGGGCTGCTGGGGCAGGGGACAGCGGGGACACTACTCTGTGGCCCCTTTTGACACCCCCCGCCCCACTTCTTCAAGGGGCTGTGCATCCTCCGCTGAAGGTGAGTCAGCATTTGCCTGTGGTTGCATGCGCTGTCATCACACCCTGGCATCCCCGACTGCCAGGCCTCAGCCCCCAGCATTACAGCCTCCCCAGTCCCAGGAAAGAGGAGTCTCTGGAAAGCTGAGGGGCTAGAGAAAGGGGCCACCTTTCCCAGTAGACCCACTGACCTCTGCAAGGTCCATCCTGTAAGCCACAGTCCCTGCTACACCTCTCCTGTCCTCCCTCTGAAGTTAGTGGATGCCCATTTCCTTTCAGGGCTCTGATCTGCTGTCCCCAAGTGGGACTGTGTGAAAATGCACCCTCCTCTTACAAGGCCTGTGTGTTACTCAAGGGAGCAAACAGGCCTAGGCCAGAGGACATGGGTCCACCTGTCCCAGGTCCAGCTTCAGCTCTGCCTTGAAAGTCAGTGTGTGAGGGTCGGCAGGGGAAGCATTTACTGGGAGGAGAAGGACATCTGGAGAAAGGGCTCCCTCCAGTCCCCACTGGTGGCAGAACAAGGCATGGGAAGCACGCAGGCCAGCTCAGCAGAATCCAGGCTCCACCGGCACCAGCCAAGAGGCCTTGCTAGGAAGGTCTAACCTTTCTGAACCTCAGTTTTCTGACACATGAACAGTAAACTGTCTCATAGGGTTGCCTCAGGATTAGGAGGGGAAAGATCCAATGTAGTGCCACCTATGTTCTAGGCACTGCGCTTGGGCTCCCCTCTTTCTAGCTGATTCTCTCCCTACAGGCTTAGAGGCTGGCCCTTGGGACCTCCCATAGTAGAGGGGCTGAGGGGATCTTGCCTCCACCATGAAGGGCCAGAGGAGGAGCATGAGGCTGAACTCTGTGGGCAGTGCCGGGGAGTGGACTGGGCAGGCGTGACAGTCTGACCACTGGTCCCCTTTGTGCTGGGGTCACTTCATCCCATGGCGGAGGCTGCTGTGTGCAGGGACAGTGGAGCACAGAGCTGACTCAGACCTCAACTCAGCCATCAGGTCTCCCTTTACTGTGTCAGTTTATGTGTGTGGGCTGCTCTGTGGGCTCCCTAGAACCTCGTGAGGCCAACAGGACCGGTATTATTGTCTTGACCTCATTTCCAAGCTGAAGTACCCAAGGCTGAGAGACACCAAAGATATGGGTATATAACACAAATACCTGTAATGCAAGGCAGAAAGTGGTATTTGCCTTTACAAGTCTGCAAGTTAAGAGCTATGTGATTTTCAGGGAAGAGAATGAGAACTTCAGGAATGAGATGTAGGTGAGAATTAATCAGTTAAGGTCTCATAGAGGAGGCACTGTAACTGGATATGGAGTAGGTAGAAATGCACTGAGTACTTACAGGCAACAACGAGGTGTTGTTTTCTCTATTATCTCTGCCAATATGGAAACATGTCTGGTAGAGACTTTGCTTTTCCCAAATTCATGTGTATCATCTCAAAATCTTCATTCTGAACTACTTAGAAACCAGGTATTATCCCCATTTTAAACACAGGGGAAACTGAGGCAGTGGCTCTCAAGCAACTTGTCCAAGGTCATATCAGCAATGGAGCAGCGGCCGTGAAGGCACATCCCTCCACCAAGCTGCGGCAGAGGGCATAGCCCAAGGCCTCCGGAGACACTCTCTGTGAACCTGGCCCCTCTTCCCTGCCTTGGATGCCATCCCAGCAGCAGCCTCAGGTCTGGCCCCACTGCTGCAGAGATGGGTACTTGGAGGCAGACTGAGTTAAGATTCTTGGCTCCATGCCTTACCTGGGGTGCTGAGGTCACCAGTAAAGCAGGCCACTTGCTTAGATTGCCAGCCAAGCAGGACACCAAAAAAATAAGGAAGATGTTAGGAAACAATTTGCTTAAGAAAATATGAAGAAAAGTAGTTGTGGGGAAAATCTGAATTGCATTGGACTTCCTTACTAGTTTATGGTTCAGTATTTATTTACTTTGCATTGGATGGATGGCAAGGGAAGGGGACACTAAAATCTCTTCAGCTCTTACAGTCTCTGAGTATTTTTATTTGGCCTGAAACTTAGGCAACCTCTATCTCAATTCACTTAACTAAGAAACTGAAACAATGCTGCCATCCCCACAGTCCTCCTAGGACCAACTAGGTGGCATACTTGGGTAAAGGTCCCTGTACAACACCTGCCACCCAACGGGTGCTCAGCCTGCCTATCCCTCCTCCTTTGTGTCCACCAAAGCTGTTCTCACCCAGGCTTGAATTAACTTTTCCTTTTTTACACTGCTGTGGGAATGTTTTAGCCTGGAACAGAGGCAATCTGTATCATTCCCCATAGAGAGGCAGTGATGAGATCTTTAATAGGGTTTCCTTTCTGGGCACAGTAGTGGCTTTGTTAAGGGGGCACCCAGTGCTGCAAGCCAGATCCAAATGTCCCTGAGAATTTACCCAGCCCTGGGTTCTCTACTTGGCCTGACTGCATCCCTGGACTAGCTTAGCTGGTGGCTTCATTGCACTTTGTGTTTCTCCAGACCCATGTGTGGTCAGCAAATTTGGGGTCATGTGGGCTTAGCCTAGATGCCAGGGCAGCAGAAGGCCCAGCCTTCAGGACCTTGCTCAGCCTCAGGGCTGTGGCTCCAGAACATCCTGGAAAGTGGCCCCTGTTATGCTGGGAAGCATCACCCTTTGTCCACTGCTGGTACACCGCACCGCATCTCTCCGGGATGGAAGCTGAGACACCTGTGTCAGGAAGACACCTCATCACTGACCTTTAGCCCCATTCAAGCTGGGCATTCTCAAGGCTGCCACAGAATCGTTTCTTTCCCTGCTTCTCTATTTCAGCCATCCCTAAAGCCTTTGGTGGTGACCCCACCCTCCTCCTGCCTCAGACTTCACACTTGCCACAGCCCTGCGGGGCCCACTTAGGGCTTCTCACCCAAGCACTCATGGGGACAGATGCTCCACAAACACAGGCCAGAATGCATGGGGTTGCTCTGGCTCAGTGTTGGTTCTCATGAAACTGCTTCAAGTTCCAAGAATGTCCTTGCAGAGCCAGTGGGCCTGGGGCCTGCTCCAGTCACCTGACAGCAGCAGCTTTTGCATACCACATCCCACTCACAGAGGCTGTGAACTCTAAGGGCAGATGTTTATGGAGATGAGTACATTCCTGGGTTTGTGGGCCCTAAAGGCCCTAGCCTTTCCCCCAAGACCTGGCCTCTGGCCAGCCTCCTGCCAAACGATATTCCTTTGTGGACTTCTTGTGCCACTCCTTATTCTAGTCCCATCTGGGGCTCAGCCTTTTTGCATTTCTTGGTCAAGGGAGACCTATGGCAGGAAAGGAGATAGTGAATGCAGTGGTGAGGAGCATGAATTCTCCAACTCAGGTGCCAGGATATCTTTTAGGAGTTCAAATCCTAACTCTGCCATTCACTGATTGCATAACCTTTGTCTCCTCTACAATGGGATGGTGATCTAGGTGCCCGGTACTAGTTTAGGTGCTTAAGATCTGCAACTAATTGAAGCCTCAGACCATCCTATGAGGGTGGGTTTTCTTGTTAGGCCCATTTGATAAGGATCACAGTACTCATAAGAATCAGAGAGATGTGCAGACAAAATGAGATAATCCAGGAGAGTTTAGGGTAGTGTCAGGCACATCAAAGGTGCCTGACGAATCAGAGCTATTACTTCTTTCCCTATTACAGAGGAAGGTCCTGAGGTTCGCAGAAGTCAAATGCCTTCTGAAGGACACATACCTCATGGTTAGAGAAATCAGGTCTGCTGGCCCAAGTCCACTGAGATTCACTGCCTCTCCCCTGAGGCCCTGACGGAAAAGGCGCTAGAGAGCAGGAAGTGCTGTCCAAGTGTGCAGCCATTGTGATTTATCCCCTCCACGATCCAAGTGCCAGCTTTCAAACAGTCCTCTGGTGGGCGGAAATCCTGCATTTGCACCTAGATTATTGGGCTGGGATCCTGGAGGAAGATGAGGGGCTTCTCATGGCAACCTGAAACCCTCCATGTGGGCTCTCAGGGGTTGCCTCTGGCAGCCGCAGCTCCTGGGAGGCACTCCTAGGCTGGTCCCTGGGAGAGGGGGTCCATGGCAACCCGACTTACACTGCCCTGGACCGCAGAGCAAACCAAGAGGTGAGAGCGCTTCCTGAAAGCACGAGACAGCTATGGCTGAGCCAGGAGAAGCCCCAGGGAGCCTCCGGGCAGAGCAGGGCCGCTGCTCCAGGCCTGCCTTGGGGAGGCAGGGGTGGGTGGAGAGCTTGGGCCCTGGAGACGTGGCCTGCAGTCTCAGCTCTGCCGTGACCTTCTGTGGGCCCTGAGCAGCTCTCTGGTAGGAACTGCCTCAGTTGGACAGCGAGGGATTTGGTGTTAGACTGGTATAGCTTTGGGTTCCAGCTCCATGACTAGCTGTTTAACGTGGGGAAGAGCAGGTAACCTTTCTGTGCCTCAGTTTCCTCAGTACCTAGCTACAGGGCTGCTGTGAGGCCCAAAGGGGTTAATGTTCTCGAAGTGATTCACGTGATGCCTGGCATATGGAAATGCTACTGAGTGCCAGTGATTTCAGCAGCAAAATGAGAGGACTGGTCTAGAGCAGGGTGTCAACCTGGCTGCCCCCCTAGAATAAATGGGGGACCTCCTACACAGACTGACTGATGACTAGGGCCACACCTTGAGAGAGCTGTCAGAACCTCTGGGTGGAGGGCCCAGGCACCGTTAGGCAGAGCTCCTCAGCAGCTCCGACGTGAGCTGGACTGAGGACCACTGGCCTGGGTCTCCAGGTTCCCTCTCCAACTTACAGCCTCTCTCTTGACATCTTTTCCCCCATGGGCTCTTGGGCTTTTCACTCTGAGCATGTGGGCCCTCCAGATTTAAGAGGAGGTTCTCAGCACGTGGTGAGCTCTCATGCCATGAGTCTGTGCTTTTTGGTCAGCACATTCCTGAGCTCCTTGCCCACCATGGTCTTGGAAGTCACCCTTGGGACTCTCCTTGAGCCAGTCCCAATCGAAGGCAATTAAGAGTTCCTCCCCTCAGACTGGCCTCATGCTCTTTGGACTCAGAGCTGTTCTGCGTGCCTCCCAAAGGGTCTGTTGTCCTTACATGCTGTTCTCTTCATTCTCTGGCCCCACATTACCTTTGCTCCTGAACTTCTAAAGGGTCTGTGCAGAGGGGTGGTGGCCTCGGGCTGTCACTTCCCAGGCCTGGAGAGGAGCAAAGAGAGGCACATGCCACCTCAGGTCATGGCCTAGTACATGGCTAGGGAGTGGGACCATAGGTCCAGGATGGGATGGGGACTCACTCACTTTTCATCATGCACCCTTCACACTGTATTGTGGATGAGCTGTTTTTATATTAAATGGCTGACAAACTGGATAAATAAATAAGGACCTGTGGAAAGTCAGCAGAGTCTATGCACAGCCTAGTTCTGACCATGACTTTGAGCCGGTGCTTCAGCAGGCTAAGTGCAGTTGTAAAGTCTGCAATACTCTCCGAAGGAATCAGTTTCATCTCATGCTTTCTGCCTGAGCCCAAATCTCGCTTTTTCCCACCACTCCTGATTCAGGGAGAGAAAAAGCTAAGCACCAGGAAGGACAGATTTGATATTTTAAATTCATCTGAAATCCCAGCTCCCCCATAAAGGTCTTTGGATTCTAGGCTGTGAAAATCTCTCTTCCACCATGAAATCTCACTGGTCTGGACCTGCCCTCTGCCACGAGCCACATCATGGTCTGCCCGGAGTAGGCGTGTCATGTTGATCTGCAACAGGAGCTATGTGTGATGACTGTGCTCTCTCCTGCAGGTACCTACTGGAACAGGATTTCCCAGGCATGCGGATTGGGCCTGAGCCCACCACTGACTCCTTCATTGCCGTGATGCAGGGGGAGGTGGAGGGCATCATCCCTGGGAATGCCCTGGTGGTGGATCCTAAGAAACCCTTCAGGAAACTGAACGCCTTTGGCAATGCCTTCTTGAACCGGTGAGTGCAGAGTTCTCTGTTCTCGGAGTTATGAGAAGTAAAGGACACGGTGGGGTCCTGCGAGCCTCGGTGCCTTTTCCATACCTAGAGTCTCTCTTTTGTCCCTTTCTTGCTGAGAATGTAACTGAGGCAGTCCCCACTGATGAGGGGTGTGGGAACTGCAAACACCAGGCTGATTCCTCCTGAACAAGGAAAAGGGAAGGGTACGAGTGAAGTCACATCCCCCAATTTACACCTCCCTCCAAGAAAAGCAGAGAGGCTGCTCTGTGTAGCTCCCAGCTTTTGTCTATAGCACAGAAAGGACATGCATCCAACTGGAAGGAGGCAGAGGAAGGTTCCTCTGTTCCTGGACATTGTTCTTACTGGGCGGAAGGAACCCTGGGCTTAAGGTGAAGCCCTGAGTTTGAGCACTGACTCTCCTAGTGAACTCACTATGTGACCTTGCACAGAACACCTCCCCTTCCCTGGGACGAGTTTCAGCCTGCAGACATGAGGGTCATTGTGTCAAGTTCACTGGAGAAAGCTCTAAGGAATGCTTGGCAGGCTGACCCAGCCCTTTCCATTATTATTCTGTTTAACTAGAATGAAGGCTGGTTTCCTGATCACACTAATTATACAGATCCACACCACAATTTTGCATGTGTATGGGAGGTATTTAGGGTAAACACTGTAGGCTTCAGCAGCCAGACCTGCATTCAGAACCTACCAAATACCACCCCAGATCTTAAATGACCTAACTTCTTTGTGTCTCACTTGACCCATCTGTAAAATAGGCTAATAGTAATTAACCTCCTCCAAGGCAGGAGGATGGATGTGGCCTTTGTGGAAAAGTTGGCACTTGATGTGGGTGTTTAGTGATGAGTGAAATGATACTGAAAGGGTGAAAAAAAAGAAAAAAAGGACATTCCAGGGAGAGAAAACTGAAAAACAAACAAAACCAAGCAGGAGGAATGAAAGAATGTGGCTTAATGCAGGAAGCCTGTGACAGAATATACATGGCACCATGAGGCCTGTGCTCTCTGGAAGTGCTCAACAGCGGAGACGACAGCCGTTCAGATGGGCTGCTGCCCACTGGAAGGTCAGCAGGGAGCAGGGGAAGCCCCCTCCCAGCACCACCAGCTGGTGGCTGCACCCAGACGTCTGCTCCCATCTGGGTGCCACCCGCCAGGGGTCCTACATCACATCCCTCCATTGCCCCACCCCTTCTCCAGGGTGTTCCAGGGCCTTTCCACTCACCTCAGCCTTCTCTTTCGGCAGATGATCTTACTTCCTACTCCAGGGAAAATATCAATCAGTGTCCCTGGATTCCATGTACTTGGGTTTTTTTAATCTGTCCATGAACTGAGTTCGTTTGCCTCTGTCCTCGCCTCCTTCTCCCCAGAAGCCATCTTCTCTTTCTCCTCAAGGTCCAATGCCTCCCTTCCCCTGGGCTGAGCTTGGGGGCCAGCTTCTCAGGGACTCGCACCACCGATCAGTCCCTCTCCTGATGGCGTCACCCTCCTTGGCTCCCCGCTCCACAGGGAATGTCTCCTCTTGAAACCCGACAGCAGGCCCTATTCACTCTCACCATTCTTGTTTTCCTTTCATAGCCATGTTTCTTGGCTTCACCCCCTGACTTCTTCCTGTTGCCCAACCTGGGGAATAGCTGTGGTGTGAAGGCCACCGTGACCTCCTAGTGATCATAAGCAGTGGGCACTTCCCATCCTTCCCTTACCCACCTCTCTTTGGTGTTTGTCTTTTTCAACTACCATCGCCTCTCTGCTCCTTGACCCTGCCTCCCTGGCTGGGCCCTTTCCAGTGTTCCCTGGTCCTCTTTTTCTCTGGCTCCTGTGACCTGCTGTCACCATCAGTCAAGCCCTTCCTCAGTCCCAGCCCTTCTCACCCCACACACTAGCCTGGGTGACACCACAGCTATGGCTGCAGCCCCACGCAAACAACCACCTGCTGCTCAGCAAAAGGTGGCCTTGCCTTAGAATACTGGGATATACCGCTGGGCCCCAGGACCAGCATGTGGCTGGGTCTTATGCACAATGGAAACCATGGGCATCAATAGGACAGGAGGTGTGTCACTCACTCTTCAAGCCCCATTACCTAGCCAGTGCCAGGCACATAGCAGGCACTTCATAAATATTTGTCAAACCGAGCTGGACATGCTGACAACCACCATATCTAATGGAGTCACTCTTTTGCTTAAAACATTCCAATGGGTTTCTACTGCCCTCATTATAAAATCTGAATTTTTTTAATGTGGCTTTCAGGGCCCCTGCCATCCTGACCAGCACCATCTCTGGCCACTCCAGCCTTCCTGCTGGCACCTGAGTGATGTGTGCCCCCTGGGGTGGGCCATCCTATCTCCCTCCCTCCCTCATTGTCCTGCTGCATTTGTCCTGCTTGAGGTCATCTCCCGGGGCTGCCATAACCAGCTACCACAGGGAGACTTACAACAACACAAAACGATTGTCCCATAGTTCTGGAGGGGAGGCAGGGTCTGTGGTCAGCGTGTTCGCAGGGCCATGCTCCCATGGGAGCCCCAAGAGGAGAGCCTCCCTCAGCTCGCTCAGCTTCCAGTCACCCCAGGGGTTCCTGGCTCGTCTGGCTTGGGGGCCTGCCCCCGTATCTCATGGCCACCTCCCCTCATGTGCGTGCATCTGTGACTCCTCAAGGGGCTCTCCCGTCTTACAAGTCAGACGGGCTTAGAGGCCCACCCTACTCCAGTTTGACCTCATCTACTAATTGCATCTACAACGAACCTATTTCCAGGTAAGACCATCACATCTGAGCTCCTGGGGATTAGGGCTTCAACAGATATCTTTGGGGGACACCTTTCAGCCCACAGCACTGCTTGTCCCTTGTGAGCCCTTATCTCCGTCTGGAATGCGGCTTCTCTCCACCACACACACATGCAGTCTGGCTTCCCGCCGGCACCTGTTGGCTTGGCAAATGCTGGTCATCTGTTGAAATCATGGTTCAAGTGCCGCCTCCTCTGGAAGCCTTCCCTTGCCCCCTCTTTCACTTCTTCCATGTGTCCCTTGCTCCTCACCTAACCAGCATCTCTGCAGCCCTCTCACTGGGTAGCAGAGGCTCAGTGGACCTGGGATAGTAGGACATTTCTTGGCTTCCACCAAAAATGGCACATAAGAGAGAAGGCTGGAAATAAGAAGGATCTAAGGTTTAACAATTTATGTTTTGAGATTTAAATATAACACTAAAAACATTTCTTTGAATGAGTCTTGACTGCTATCCCGACGGTTATGTTTGGTATTTGGATGACCCTTCAGCATACCAATATATGTTCCTGGGTCATGTGACCCACTTATCAAGGCCAGCCCTGCTGCCTCCTCCAGGAAGCCACCCCCTGGAAGCCATCTCTCCACTTCGGACCTCGCCAGCCCTTCACCCGACAGCCCTCAGGGTGCTGGTCCCACAGCGCTCACTGTGGCTGCCCGTGTACATGCCTCCTCTTCCCATCAGACTGTGTGCCTTGGGGTCAGGGATCCGGGTCTGGACATCTTGGTGTCCTTGGCAGCAGGGGTTCTCAAACATAGGACCACGGCTCCTCAGGATCACCCACGGAGCTTCCTCAAAGGACAGGTCCTAGACCCACTGCTGGGGCTGAGTCTGGTCTGGAGCCTAGGAGTCTGAACAGAAAGGCGCCAGGCTTCTGAACTTCTGCCCCAGGGCAGGGAAGGTTGGCCGGCAGCTGACACCAGGGTGTGTGAGAGGCAAGAGAAGTCAGCAGCCCCCCGCACGTTTCCTCCCACCCCATGCAGGTTCGTGTGTGCCCAGCTGCCCAACCCCGTGCTGGAGAGCATCAGCATCATCGACACACCAGGAATCCTCTCCGGAGAGAAGCAGAGGATCAGCCGAGGTAAGCGAGGCCCCTGGTAGGACTGGCACTGGCTCATCAGGTTTATTCATTCCTCAAGAGGCATTACTGTGCGCCAGGCCCTTGTTTGCTTCTGAGGTTCCAGCAGCCCCTGCCTCAGGCATCTGGCAGCTCTGCAGGGAAGGCAAATGCGTGCACAGAACTGCTCCCAACAACAGGAGGATGGCAGCATGCTCTGGCACATAACAGTGGGAGTGGGTGGGTACATGAAAGCACTCTGAAAACCGTTCACTCCAGATATGGGCTACCTGCTCATGAAGGGAGGTAGCTGGGCATGGTGGGTAGGAGAGGAGCTCCGGAGCCAGACTATCAGAGTTCGAGGACTGCCTCTGACTCTTGCTAGCAGAGAGAGCTTCGCCAGGTTTCTTTGCTTCAGTTGGTTCATCTGTAAAGTAGGGGGAAATAATTCTACCAAAACAAACCTTAGAGGTTGTTTGAAGATTAAAAGAAGTACTAAAATGCTAGACTGATGCTGTACAAGGCTCAAAATTACTGCTTCTGGCTCCCTACCCCCAGCCTCTGCTGCCACATTGTACCGTGCGCCCTGGGCAACCCCCCTGCCCTTTCTGTGCCCTGTGCTGTACCTCTGGCAAGAGGAGCAGATAAAGCCACACCCAGCCCAGTAACGGAGCCTCCGGGAAGAGTAGCTTCGGACTGACAGGAGTTCTCTGGGCAGCAGCCCCAGCTCTCTGCCGAACCGACCTTAGGTGACTGTCTGTCCCTCCCGTGTGAGCCTTGGCCCTCTGTGCTCTGTACCCAGCCAGGGCAGGCACACTACCTGCCCTGAGGGATGTCTGCACCACTGGGGTGGGGTGGGGGCCAGAAACTTCTCTACCAGGAGCATGGCCTACCCAGGCCGGCACCCATTCAACCCCAGGACCCTGCAGGCAGAGCCCGTCACCTCACAGGCGGCAGACCGGTGCTCCTGAGGCTGCCCTCATGGGGCCCGGGTACTGATGCTGGCCCAGGTGCAGGCTGCTAGTACCCAAACAGGGCTGCTGTCCAGCACTCCCCAGAGTTGCTCCAGCTTCTCTCTAAAGAAGGCAGGTCTCTATGAATGGCAGAACCAGGCTCAGCCCTTTTCAGTCTGCTGCGGCCGTGTGAGTGGGTACAGCCGGCCCTGGCTGGGGGTGGACAGGGACTCCAGCAGGAGAGCCGGGCCCCTTCCTCCCTCCCATTTCACCGAGGAGGTAAAACCTGGGAAGAAGATGGGAAAGAGCAGCAGGTCAGAGAGGCCTTGGAAACTGAGCCAACACTTCCTGTACTTGACAGCCTGTCCACATAAGTGGGACAATGATGGAAGTTCCCCTGTGAAGGATCTGGGAGCCTGGACCCCAGGCTCCCTAACTCTGGGCTGTGTGGTGGTGCAGGGGCTGAGCAGGGAGCTCTGCAGCCATGGAAGGCAGGGCCCTGGGAAGGGGGTGTCTGCCTGCCCCTTCCAGCCTTTGCGAGCACCCTGGTACCCAGCCCAGAGCCCTGTGCAGGTACAGCTTGGGGGACTGTCTTGCTTTTGTTTCCCTAAACACTCTCTCCTAGTGGGTCTCTACCTAAGCCCCCTCCCCACAGACACACAAAGCCCCCAGGGTTCCATCTGGGCTCATCTTGAGTTTAGGCCTAAAGGAGATTTAGCCTGTGTCTCCTCAGGGAAGGCTCAGGAGAGCCCAGACTTGGATCGGAACCACCTGCGGGTTGGGGCAGAGGTGGCACATGTATCTACAGGGCAATGCAGCCCTGACAGTGGGTCCAGAGAGGACTCCAGCCTCTGAGGTTTTCAAGGGTGCCCAACTGGCTGTTCAGAGCCTTGGGTTTTAGAGTTACATTGTCTCTCTCAGCCTTAGTATCCCCATGTTTAACAAGAGGTAATGATACCCATCACTTGCTCTTGAGAGAACCACAGATGGTAATGGAAAACAGACATCAGCTCTGGGCCCAGATCACAGTGAACTAACTCCCTTTGCCCTTTATCTGCCAGCCAGGGCCATGCATTACACAACCCCAGGGTAATCTGAGAATGGCTTCCCTTCAGTTGTGCAGTGCACAACCTATGCAAGTGTGTGTGGCAGGCCTGCTTCCAGGACTCCTGCCTTCCTCAGCTCCTGTCCTAGTCCATTCTTTTCCTATTCCTCTTCCTTCTTTCCTCCCTTCGTCTTTGGCCCTCAGTGGCTGCCCACACAAACTGGGTGCTTGGATTTCCTGCCTACGCTTCTTAGCCCCTCCTACCCCACACTAAGCGCCAGGTCCCACCCCACCTCTGGGAGAAGAGATGACCTCATGAGTGGCTACTCAGGCCAGTTTGTTCTCTGCCATCCTGAGTCCAGACTGTAAATGCAACTGTAGGCAAAAGTAACCTGTGATAAAAACAAGAGCTGGGAGCCTGGCTGCCGGCACTGTGGCCCCGTTCTGTGGTGATGTTGCCCTCAGCACCCCAAGGAGACCAAGAAAAATGGTGGGGAGCAGGTGGGCCAGGCATCAGACACCCTCAGGTAAAGGCTCCAGCATGCAGGGACCTCCCCATCCTTCCTCAAAATCAGCCAGAGGAACCGGTAGTTCCAGTTTATGCCTACACACATATACACCTGCACATCCACCCACACACAAACGTGCACACAGAACTGAACGAGCTTTTGTATGGCACCTTGCCTGGGACCCTCAGAGCTCAGGGTTTGGCTGCAGCACAGATGTGGCAGTTCCTCCCTTCCTCCAGCCAGCCCAAGGCAGAACGGGGGCCCCCACACACAGTCCTGCAGACAGCATGTAGAGTCTGACATCCAGTCCATGTTCTGTTCACCAAGCCTCATGCCAGGCATAGGGCTGTGTCTCAGCAGAACAAAAGGGCACCGTTAACAAATCTGCACAGAGCCATCTCTGGCTAATAGCCCAGGTGGGCCACATTTGGGAAAGCAAGCTGTTTCTAAAGGTTCCCCAGGCCTCAGGCTTTCCCTAGAGCCCTCAGGCCCCAGGCCAGAGCTGGGCAAAGTGTGGTCCTTGCTCAGGGTGTGGCCCCTCTGGCTGGACACGGGAGTGGGTGTCTTGGGGGAAGAGGGGAAGCAGCAGACACGCAGGAACCTGAGCCCAGGAGGTCCTGGGCCAGCACTTAGCTCAGGATGAAGATGTACCAGGGCAGGCAGCAGAAGGGTATGGAGGCAGTTCCTGGAAGTGACAGGATGTGCCCTGTCCAGGGCTCATTAGTGGGAAGCAGCAAGGATGCAGCGGAAGTGGGAGGGCTCCAGAAGCCTCCATGTCTTCCCACTTGGCAACCGCATTTCCTGGCTGCTTCTTAGCTGGAAATTCCCCCAGACCCCACCCTAGAAAAGCAGCCCCTCGGGCCAGTGCTCACAGCACCCCCAGCGGACTCCTGCCTGTAAAAGTGAGCCCAGCAGGGCCACAGCAGGCAAAAACCTTGCCTGGGTCACAGAACTAGAGTGGGAACTCTGTCTCCGGATTCCCTGCCCAGTGGCTTTTCAGCACATTATCATCAGCTCCCAGGAAGAATCCAGCAAGTAGGCACAAGGGTCAACTCTCATCTACAAGCTTCCCTGGGGGTGGGGGCCTTGGTGGGTCTAGGCTGATTCTCACATGCCTGGCCTGTCTCTGGCACCCTCACTGGAGCTGGGCATGCACGCATCTAGGGGCCTCTGGGGCCCCAGACCACATGCCTGTACCTGTGTGCCTGCCTACTTCAGAGGGTGCCTTTGGGGTGAGGGAGCTGGGTACCATGCCCCAGCAGCTGCCTCCTGTAGGCAGGCTGGCTTAGACCATCCCTAGGCAGCACTGACAAGGCCTCTTTTGTTACTGGGCAGAACCAGGCCCTTGAAGCCCTTTCCTGGGCCCTGTTCCCTAATGGAGAGGGTCCCTTTATTTGAATGAAAAGACTAAATGGGAATAATGTTAATAATAACTAGTATTTACCAAGCAGCTCTTATCTGCTGGCCTCTGAGTGTATTTAATCTTTATAATTCTACTAACTAGACACTCTTATAGGCCCATTTATAGATGAAAAAATAGACTCAGAGACACTGAGTAATTTGCTCAAGGCCAAACAGTAAAAATGTAAAGGAGCCAGGATTTGAAGCCAGATCTGACTCCTAAGACCGTGTTACTTCTCCGGCACCTGGCTGCCTCTCCCCAACCTCTGCCTTATGCCCCGAGGCCCCTCTCTCTGACTGTCCCTTTGTGGCAGGGTACGACTTTGCGGCTGTCCTCGAGTGGTTCGCCGAGCGGGTGGACCGCATCATCCTGCTCTTTGACGCCCACAAGCTGGACATCTCTGATGAGTTCTCAGAAGTCATCAAGGCCCTGAAGAACCATGAGGACAAGATGCGGGTGGTGCTGAACAAGGCCGACCAGATTGAGACGCAGCAGCTGATGCGGGTGTATGGGGCCCTCATGTGGTCCCTGGGGAAGATCGTAAACACCCCTGAGGTGATCCGGGTCTACATCGGCTCCTTCTGGTCCCACCCGCTTCTCATCCCTGACAACCGGAAGCTCTTTGAGGCTGAAGAGCAGGACCTGTTCAGAGATATCCAGAGTCTGCCCCGAAACGCTGCTCTGCGCAAGCTCAATGATCTCATCAAGAGGGCCAGGCTGGCCAAGGTGAGGCTGCCCCCAGAGAAGAGGGCAGCATGGGTAGGGCCAGGGGTTTGGGTAGAAGGTTCAGCTGCAAGAGCTGAGGGCTGCTGCCTGAGGTCCTGAGCACTTGCCTGCCCACAGAAGAATGTCCCACAGCCACTGCATCCTGAGCATCAGCTGTGCCACTTCTGGGGAGCAGGACAGTGTGGGGGTTGCGATGACAGGCCCTGGCGTCAGGTGAGGCGGGAGCCCGCCTCTGCTAACTGTGTGATCCCAAGCCCAGCAAGGTCCTTGGTCTCTCTGTGCCTGTTTCCACACCTATAAAATGAAAGGGTTGGAAGATAAACTAAAACAAAGAATGTAGAAGTCCCAGCACTGAGAACCACAGTGCCCGGCATCCTCAGAAGGGCCCAGTGTAGATGAGGTGCTGCTATTCTCCTCCTCCTCGTCCTCATCACCAGTGTTACCATTCCTGTATCCCTGTTACTGCCTTGACCTTAACCTCCCCACAGTCTCACCTTTCCCTTTCTAGGTGATACAGAAAAACAGCTGGGCACTGCAGGCAATGTGAGCACGGGACGGCAGAGAGGGGTGGGAGCAGGAGGAGGAGGGATGTGTGGGAGGAGGGGGTGAGAGCCGCCCCAGAGGGAAGGAATGAATCTTGATCTGAAGGTTTCTCCTGGCTCCTGTTACCCAGGTCCACGCCTACATCATCAGCTCTCTGAAGAAGGAGATGCCCTCAGTGTTCGGGAAGGATAACAAGAAGAAGGAGCTGGTGAACAACCTGGGGGAGATCTACAGCCGGATCGAGCGGGAGCACCAGATCTCACCCGGGGACTTTCCCAACCTGAAGAGGATGCAGGTAAGCAGGGTCTGGGGCTCCAGGACAAAGGCCAATGTCACAAGAGCGGGCCAAGCAGCCTGAGTTTGAAGGAGCAACTCTTGGATGCCCAGATGGAAACTCAGCCCAAATCCAGAAGGCAGGAAGATGGCCCCAGATCTGTCCTCCCTGCTGGTCTGTCACTGGCCCAACAGGGGTCATAGCCAGGCCTGGGAAGAAACACAGAGCCCCGGTGCTCCCAGTGGGCAGGGGTGTTACATGATGTTCGGGGTCTGATACCTTCAGTTTATGACCTTCCCCGGTCACAGCCACCACAGGCTTAGAATCCCCACCATGTGATGTGAAATGGGACAAGCCACCTGACAAGGGCTGTCCTTGCCCATTACCTCTTACATTTACTTCTGAGCTCCCTCTTGGGAGTGATCTGGGACACAAGCCAGGGAGAAGCACAGGTCTGCACAGAACCTTGACGTCTTTGGGGCACACTGTGAGCCCCTCTCTTGGGCCAGGGACCACTGCACATGGTTTCTCATGTTACTCCCCAAAGCAGTCCACTGAGGAAGATGTTTTGATCCTCCCTTTACAGATGAACAAAGGTTTCAAAGGTAATTCACCTTTGCAGTTAATTGCCTGCAGTTTTCTGCATATAGTGTTCACATAAGCTGTTATTAGAAATGCCCAGAGCAGTCCCTACAGTCTGAGCAAGAGACCGCCATACCACACTGACCAGATCTTCTCTAAGCCTCTGTCTCCATCTATACACTGACGTTCCAGAAGCACCCACCTTAGATGGATGTCCAGAGCATCAATGAGAGAAATTTGCAAGGCATTTAGCACAGAGCCTGGCACAGACTATGCCCTTAAAATACAGTAGCAAGTTAGGTTAGACGTCACCAGTGGTGACGGGCTGGGTGATGGGCACAAGGGACCTACCTCTCTGTACAACTTTTGCAACTTCTCGTGATTCTATAATGATTTAAAAATAAAAAGGTTTGAAGAATTAGGGATATAGTGTACACCTGAAAGCATTATAATATTATACCAACTATACTTCAATTTAAAAAATTTCTTAAGACTTATAAAATAAGAGAAAAAAACAGCAGCAGATGTAGTAGTGATATTGTTTTTGTTATTGTTGCTGATTTTGATCTTTAGCTTGGGAACCAGTTTCTTGCTTCAGACTGGGATTTCAGAGCATCATTATAGTCCCAAATAGGCATTTTTAGTTTCCTATGTGGTAAAATAAAAATAAAAATAAAATACCTTCAGAATAAGCCTTTGCTCATGGATCCACGCATTCCCATCACCACCTGCCATGAGCCAGTCACTAATTTCAGAATTACTTTTAATGTAATTTGGGTTTCTCAATCAGTTGTGGCTTGGAATACTTCAGCTTTCAGTTTCTCTTTCTGTTAAGAATTTAATGGTCTGTAAGCCCACTTCTGGGAAGATGACATTGGGAAGGAACCATATGACCCCTTTTTAATGTGAGGAACCCTTTCAGAACATTCACGATTTCACCTTGTTTGTCTGCCAGTCAGTTAGGTGCTGTTGGTAGGAATGTTGAATCAATAATGTAAACAGCCCTCCTGGGGGATGTGCAGGGAGGGGCAGTGGGAGCACCCCTGTGCCCCCTCAAGATATAAGAGCACCTACTTGGGAGCCCACCAAGCACATCTCGATGTGTACAGACTGGGAGAGATGCTAGGTTCCCCGGGAGGTTACACCCTGACAGGAGCGAAAGCTTGTCTCCTCCTGCACTCCACACCCCCTCTCCCCGCGCCCGCCGCCCTGGTTCAGCCCTGTCCTGGAAGGAATGTGAGAAATGCCCAATCTGACACTAGCTCTTAAAATGTAGCTGTGGGTGTTTTCTGAATTTTTCTTGAGTGAACTCAGTATTCTTGTCCCTGAGACCTTCCCCCATGCACTGGTCACTGGCCAGTGTCCCGAGAGCTGTGGCCAGAGCCAGGGCAAGAGTGGAAAGCTCTCACCATGTCACTACAGGGGCCGAGATGAAGCTTCGTGTTCTAGACTCAGGACCTTTCACAGACACAAAGACATGCAAAGTGGAACATATTTCTTTTACCATGTGGAATAGGTGTCATGGGAAGGCAAGGAGGGGAGCTTGTACAAAATGGGCATGCCTGACCGTGCCTGAGTCAGAACCCGGATAATGGAAAACTCTCCCTACGGAATTCTCATGAGCATCCTGAGTAAGACCCACTGTTTTGGGGATGACCCTTGACTTCTATCATGTATCATGATTTGTTTTTTATTGCCTATGTCCCAGTTTTTCCTTTCCTATGCAGAATAAAATGTGATTCCTTCCCTCTGAAAGGCACTAGGGAGCTGACAGGCCAATATAGTGAAAACACCTGCAGTGTATTCAAGTATAACCCTTAGGACCCATATGCCTCAGTCTCAGAGGGGCATAGCATTTGAGAACCACTCATTGTTCAACAGCCAAAACTAACAGAGAGATTTAATTATTGGCTTTCTAGAACAACAAAGTGAATCCAAATAAATGGATCAAACCCTTTGTTAAATTTGCCTTTCTTTCCTGGCCCCTGCAACTGTTCTACTCTCTCCTGAAAAATTCCACCAAGAGAAATTTTTCCTCCTATCTCCTCCTCTCTCATAGTTTGTATTAGTTCACAGTGTGGCTCACCTTAGCCTCCAGGCCAAAGGGCTGTGAACATTTCAGTATTAGTAGAAGGCAGCCTCCTCAACAAAGAGAAGGATCTCCTTCCATTACCATCTCTCCTCACCTGCTTTTCTCTCCTTCTCCCCAGGACCAGTTGCAGGCCCAGGACTTTAGCAAATTCCAGCCACTGAAAAGCAAGCTGCTGGATGTGGTGGATGACATGCTGGCCCATGACATCGCCCAGCTCATGGTGCTGGTGCGCCAGGAGGAGACCCAGCGGCCCGTCCAGATGGTGAAGGGCGGAGCATTCGAGGGCACTCTGCATGGCCCCTTTGGGCACGGCTATGGGGAGGGGGCTGGGGAGGGCATCGATGATGCTGAGTGGGTGGTTGCTAGGGACAAGCCCATGTACGATGAGATCTTCTACACCCTGTCGCCAGTGGATGGCAAGATCACAGGTGCCAATGCCAAGAAGGAGATGGTGCGCTCCAAGCTGCCCAATAGTGTGCTAGGCAAGATTTGGAAGCTGGCTGACATCGACAAAGATGGCATGCTGGATGACGAGGAGTTCGCACTGGCCAACCACCTCATTAAGGTCAAGCTGGAAGGGCATGAGCTGCCCAACGAGCTGCCTGCCCACCTCTTGCCCCCATCCAAGAGGAAAGCTGCCGAGTGATGAGGGGAAGGGGGAGGTTAGAGAAGGGGCAGGTCAGTGTTAGAGAAGATGGGAGAGGCAATTACACATGCACATGTGCACACACACACACACACACACACACACACACACACGCATGCAGATCTTGAAACCTACACTGAAGATTTGAAGGGACAGTGACCCCCAGGTTTCCAGGCTGATCTCTGGACACATCTCCAAGTTCTCAGCCTTGGTAGAAGCACAGGAGTACTTCTAGAGCTCCAGGTTTCAAGCCTAGGTCTCCAGCCCCCTTTCCATCCACTGCCGCTACCTAGAGATCTGCCTTCTGATCCACAGAGGCAGTTTGCTCGCCACAGATGGCCCACCCCCTCCAGATTCCCCAGACTTGGAGCAGATGGAGAAGGCTTTCATTTAGTAGGCAATTCACTTTGTTTTCTGTGCTTTCTTCCCATCTCTGGCTTCCTAAGAGGAAATCTGCTCTGGGACCAGGTGTGGGGGAAGGCGGGCCGCTGCGGGGAGGGAAGGAAGGAAGCATCCTCGGGGTCCCAGGTCCCAGACATGAAGAGACATGGCCCTGAGCTCTGTTCTTTCCCATGCTCAGGCTCTGTCTGCCACGGCAAACCTTGAACCCTGATAGAATTTCATTTCAAAGAATCCCAGATTCAGTGAGAGAAGAGAAAAGTCGGGGGGAAAGAAAGCAAAGACACTGTTCTGTTGTCCTCCACTCCAAGCCAGTCGAGGGAGTTTTATTCCACAGATTTTGTGAGACTCCTGATTTTTTCACTTGGCCTCTGATGTTTGGATGCTCAGACTCAACTCACATTTACAAGCCCCTCCTGTGCATCAGGAGCTGTGTTAGGCACTTTATATACATTATCCCACATTATCCTCACCATCCCTCAAGGAAGGACGTGTTAGTGCCCCCCCTTTGCAGTTGAGGAGCCTGACACTCAGAGGAGTTTAGGTGACCTTCTCAAAGTCACAGGGGTCACATGTAATGGGTAGAGGATTCAGAGCTGGGGCCTCCAACTTTTGCCTCTGCTGTGACGATGGGCAGGAGCCCAGCCTTGCTGGCTGACAACAAACCACGGAAAACAAGCTGAGTGTGAGGGCCCTGCACAGCCCCCCAGAGCAGGCTGGCGAGGGAAAAGGACCAGCCAGCATTTGGTGGGGCCATCAGTCTGGCCATCTGTCACATCACAGAAACAAACCGTGCCATCTGGCTGTGGACCCCATGTTCCTAAAACTGTAGACGTCCAACAGCACCAGTGGGAGAGTGGGCGCGCCTGTCCCTATCAGCCTCCACCCAGCAGCGTGAATCATCTCAGCTCGAATGCAGCCCCTGACTCCTATCAAAAGGGGCCTCGTGCTGATGCTCAGGAGGCGAACTTGAGAGGACTGACTTGTTCTTGCAAGACCCCCGGCGGTTGCGGCAACCTTGGCAAAGCCCCACTGTTTTCAACATTCTTCACCCTCCATGGTCTCTCCCTCAGCTTGCTTTGTGGCCCCTGAGCCAGTCACTTTGTATGCTATGCTCCTACTGTGATGGAAAGAAAAATGAGTATAACTTATTTTATATCTATGTTCAGACTATACAGAGAATGTTCTATGTATCTATGATGTGCTTACTACTGCAGTACATTCGTCATTAGTATTCATGTTAATATAGCACACTTATTATCCTTTGGTACCCACTTGGCCGTGGAGTGTCTTTCCCAGGGAGGGCTGCGTTCCTCCCTGGAGTTCCTGGTGGCATTTCTGGCACAGGATTGGGTTGCCCACAGCCAGTACCCACACACAGGGCCCCGCTGGCCTGATCATCTCCAAGCCCAGTGATATCCAGGCTGACCCAGTGAGAACATGGCTCCTGGCCACTCTGCTATGGAGATGGTCCTCAAGCCTTTGCGCTTCCTTCCACACCCCCGCGTTTCTCTTATAAAATAAAGGGCAGAGGAAGCCAAGGCAAAGAGGTCTAACCTCCTCTAACTGGAGCAACTTGCCCAGCAGAGGGACTATTCCAAAGCTCTGTGCCTTTCTTCTGCTGTAAGAGAAGTGGGAGGGAGCCCACAGAGGGAGGTGAAGCTTCTGTCTTTATTTTAGAAGGTAGCAGGGTGTGTGTTTGCCCTGTCACCCCACTGCCACTTGGACACATGCACCACCCTCCTGCCCTAATCTCGCTGTCTCTCTTCCCTCCTTCTTCAAGCCCCTACCCCAGAGAGATCTGTAAGGCACGGGCATTCTGTGCCAGCACTTGTCCCATCTCCCAAGAAAGAAGAAATGGTGCTTGAGGCTCCCAGCAGCAGGTGAGCAAGCATTTGAAGGACACTTTCTCCGGGGCTGGCCCTTTGGCTCTTGCTGCCTTGGGCTACTGACCTCTCGCAGGCCTTGGGTCCTGCGGACATCTCATGCTTCAGCCTGGTAAACAACTAATGTGAAAAGCAGAGACATGTCGTGGCGGCCTTGCAGGTGAGAATCCCTAGAGACCTCACTGCCTTGTTGCCCTTTCTCCCATACTACTCAGCCCAGGCCACGGAAATCACCAGATAGGAAGAGCAGTCCCTGCACCACTGTCCCGGCACAGCCATAGCGGGGCCTGGACCTCAGTATGCAGGGAGGTGAGAGGTCGCCCTGAGTCAGCCCCACAACCGAAATCCAAGAGCCCACACTGATGTGTTCACTGGCCCAAATCAGCGCAGTTATCTGGGTAGAACAGGCTTACTTCTTGTCCCTAAGAGATGTTAACTGGTCTCTATACTTATTTAATTCTTTATTCTTTAACCTGTCTGTCTGTCCGTCTATCCATCCAACCATCGTTTCTTTAACTTAGAAAACATCGAGAACCTCCTACAGAAAAAACACTAAGGTGAAGATAGGGATACATTCGTTGAGCTACTCACCAATACTTAATAAATGCCATCTGTGTAGTAGGGACAATTATAGATGAACCAGTTCAAGTTCCTACGCTCAGAGAGCTCACAGCCTGGTAGGGGAAGTGAAGCATTTACACGAACATCGATAGTACCACACGGGGCCACGATGGGACCTGGGTGGGCACAGTGTGGGGCTCCTGAGTCAAAAATGGCTTCCGACTGGGGAGCAGGTGGTCAGAGGAAGCCGGGGTGCGAGTGAGACCCTGGAGCTGACCCTGGGTCTGCCTTTTGTGCTCTTCATCGCCTCCCTCTAATCCAAGGAAGGCAGACAGTGTTTTTATACAAAAGTAAACACACAGCATTCCCAGCCCACAAAAGTAGGACAGACTGAGAGCCACAGATGTATTTGAGGAAAAGCATGATGAGAATTTTGCCTCTGGGCACTGTGCTGGCTTTTCACAAGCCATTTTCCAGCAAAAATTTTATCAGTATCTTTAAAGTTGAAATTTTCAGTGCCTGGAGAAAAAGAAAAATGGTAATAGAGGACGTAAACTTATCCCAGCTGGAGAGATGAGGGAAAGGTGAGAGTGAGGCTTGGCTTGAGAGCATGGCTATCCCCTCACTCACCCACTGGAGGTGATTGGTGCCCCTCACCACACTGCGATTCTCCAGTCCTTCGGGCACAGGGGAGGACTGAGCTTTCTGCCCCCCGTGATGCTAGGTGAGCTGCGTGACTTGCTTTGGCTGGTGAATTACGAGTGTAAGCAACATGTCACTTCTCTGCAGAAACATGTGTTCAGTTGGCCACATTCTGCTTTTCCTGACTCGCCAGGAATGTATGTGGGAGCAAGTGGGTCCCTGGGTCACTCTGAAATGGGTGATTTTCCCAAACACCTTTAGTGTCTGAGCCAAAGCCTGCAATGACCCAGATCCTCAGCCTTCAACTTTACTCTTTAAACTGGAGAACTGTGTACTAATGGAGTCCAACACTGGGGTCGGACTTATCTGCTTTCTGCAATAATATAGACACTGGGCATTTGTCTCCCTACAGCTAAACAGAACGTATTTAGAAAACACTACAATTGATAAGTTGTAAGAGAAAAACTATAATTCCCAGACTCCCTTGCAGCCAGGTTCAGGTTTAGGTCCTGCCAACTACATAAACTCTAAGGAGAGTTCGCTGATGCAGATCATGCCAAAAGCAGACCTAGCAGCTAATACTAGTTTTACAGCTTGCTTTCTATGCTCAGAAAGCTGGAGGTCTTGTTTGTGAGACCAGATGAGGTAGTAAACAGCATTATAAATAGCCATATGCCATCTGGAGCTTGCCTACATATCCATGGTGCCCACACACTACTGAGATGTGCAGAGGGAAATAGGGTTGAAGCAGGGGAGGCTTCCTGGGGGGCATGTGCATGAGTGTGTGTATGCGTTTGTGTGTGTGTGTATTGGGAGCATATGTTGAAGTGGTTTCTTGCTGGATAAGTGAGGAGGAGTGGGTGTGGAAGGGCTTTCCAGAAGAATAATGGCTATGGAATTTTCAAAGTAATAATCCTTTTCCAAAACACAGAGGGTATGAATGTGTGCACTTAGAACCTAAGACTATAAAATAAGGAAATGTTAAAAATAGAATTCTATCTCCTTCTTCTGGATGTCGTGAGGGGCAGTTCCTCCCCCCTTCTCTGAGAATGACACTGAAGCATGATGGTTGCAACCAGGCCCGAGGTTGGGCCCGGGTGGAACAGTATCCTACACACCATCACACAGAGAAGAGCAGGGGAAGTGCATGGACAGAGGTATTAGCTGCCTGGATTCCAGCATCAGGACAAGCCGTGTAGCCTCTCTATCTCCATTTATTTTTCCCTTAAGTGGGGATCATTTCAATCTTTTGGAGATATTGTGAGGATACAAAGAGACAAGAGATGGGAAATTTCACCAAGATCATACATGCAGTGCACATGTGAGTCTACTGGCATATGCTGGAAGAGGCATCGTTCAGAAGAGGAGAAAATCCCATCAGCAGGAAGGAAGGACAGCAACCAAGCCTGTAAAGGCACAGAAAGAGAAGAGAATGGCCAAGGGAGGAAAGAGCAATGCTTACCATGTCTGAATACTTGAGAGGGGCCTGGGGGCCAGGGACTATCTGTGGTACCTGCAGGCCCTGGTCCACTGCCGTTCAGGTAAATGCACAGCCCTGAGTCCTGCCTGGCCTCTCAGCCACCATGATCTGGTGCTGATGGGGGGCAATGGACTCACTGGGGTGAGCTGGGGTTGGAGGGGGAGCACAGTGGTGACACCACAGCCTGGCTCCAAGGCAGACCACCTAAGAAATTCATAGGTAATAGCAGATCCTCCAGTATATTGAATGCACAACCTGTATAGCAAGCATTATCTTCATTCACAAAGTTTCAGACCATACTATTGTGTAAGGTGAAGTCTGTTTTTCTGCCAGCCAGTATCTTTTCATCACATTTCTTAATCTGTGTGTAAAACAAGAGGCTAAGGAATTAGCAAGGTCAGATCAGTGTACAGAAGAGGTGATTCCATCACCTCCCAATCCCATCTTGGGGTGGCAGTGGGTTTTGGTTCACCTTCTGAGAGAATCTCAAACTCACCAGCATAATGGTGACACTGATGAAATCTGACTTTGGTCCAGGTGGCCTTTTTTACAGGCCACTTCCCCTCCCATCCCTCTTTCTCCTGCTCTCCTTCCTGCCCCTATCCCAGGATGCCAGAGGATCACCTGACCTCTGACCGGGCATCTGTCCTCTCTGGGCCAGCAATGTGTGCACCCCCCACCCCCCACTCCCCCACACATATGCCGTCTCATCATCCATGTCTGCTCCATCCCCTGAAGCTGGATCTTGCTGTGCTGATCTGAGAAACCAAGAGTCTGCATGTGTGTCTGTGGGTTCAATGTCATGGCCATGACTCTAGTCATGGGTAGGCATCTGGTAGGAGCCAAGTGGGAAAGGTTCCTGGCAGAGAAGACAAGAAATTCCGGATCAGGCAGGCACTGGCACACGCTTCCTCACAGGCACCTGCTCTTATACAGGCTTTCCCTCTGGATCCTATCTGCTTCCTAAATGCCACCACAGCTTTCTTGGCAGTACAAGGTAATTCCCCTCATTCCAGAAAATCTTACTCCTCAGGAACATGCCATGGAATGAAAATGTATCTCTCACTGCAGGGAAGTCAACTGTCCAGGCTCCCAGGCAGATGCAGCTTGTCCTCTTGATACCCTGGTGTGTCCCGCGGCCACAGGACGTGAGGCCTGAGATAACGGCAGCCCTGAACTCTTCAGCAACATTTCCTGGAACTTTTTGAGATGCAGAGAAAATAAGCAAACTGACTCTGAGCAGCTCTTGGCCAGATGTCACTTCTCAGACCCCAGGGACTGACTTAATGTCTAGTTTGGACTCTGGGTCTAGTGGGCTGTGTAAGAAAAGCCCCATTTTGCATACCGAGGATTTCAGTGAGGCTACGATAATGGCAAAAGTCTGCAAGCCAATTTTCCAAGACCCCATTCAAATAATCTCCCTGAACAAATTTGATTTCTCAACTTCTATCACCATCCCCTCCCAACTGCAAACCCCTAGGTTTTGGGGTCTCCACCTGCCTGCTTCCACCTTTTAGCACTGTCATTTGCATTCTTATTCCATTCCACCATCCAGATAATCAGCAACTTAAGGGCATAGAGTGTGCTTAGCACAGCCCAGGAATCCTTGCCAGACTGCCTTAATTGTCTTGGGGTGCTTATTTCCCCAGCTGCAGCGAGTACTGCCAGCAGCCTGCCCTGGACTTCAGATATAGTCCTCAG